AGTACTCTTCCCTGCCGTGGCAGGGAGTCGGACTTGATGATCTGCTCAGGTTCCTTCTGACCCTACTAACTATTAAACTATGAAACACTGTACAGTATAGTATATAAAAATTATTTTTACTTGCCTTTAATACACGGGGTGGTTAACTGGGTATAGGCATAGCCCTAGGGGTACTTAGACAGGTTATAGGGGGTATATGCCAATGGATGAAGACAGAGCACACCCAGTGTGTGGCAGCAGCATCTCCCCTGGTGCGTTTGTCTCTTACCCAGGGTGGGGAGGGGGAAGGGGAAGAGAGGGACATGCTGGCCAGCCCCGTGCAGCACACCATGGTGCTTCCCCACCTGCTTGAATGGTAGGGTGGGGGTGTTTTATGCCTGCCTCTGGCAGGGCACGATTGGCTGGTCGGCAGCCTGTGGATGGAGTCTTGGCTGGACCAGGTCGTGGGACAATCTGAGCCCAGAGGCAGTGGAAGCCGCCCGCCCTCACCCCTGGATGAGCTGCTGGGCTTGGATTGTCCCACAACCTGGCTCAGTTGGGGCTGCTGTTCCCTGCCACCCTGCTTCCCTCCCCTGTGACCTGGCATGGCAGGGAGCAGTGAAACCATGTGAGGATCTCTTTGCCTGCCGTTGATTGCCTTGTGTTGTCCTGGTGCCGCTTCTCCTGCGCGCAGGGCTGCACTGAGGGCAGTAGCAAAAACCAAAAAACCCCCTCAAGCCAGTGGCAGGCACACATGAATGATGCATGCCACCGGAGGCTGGGGGGGCACAGTGACCACTCACAGGCGATGGTGGCAGCAAGCAGGGAGCTTCCTCAGGTGGCCGTGGCAGTGGTGCTGGGGGGTAGTGAGTGCTGACCAGCGGTTGGTGACCACCCACAGACGCTGCCAGCAGCAATCGGCAACTGCCTGATGACACCACCGGCCGTGCTGGCAGCGAGAGGGGTGGCGAGCAACAACTGCCTGCAGGCACCAATGGCAGTGGCCAATTGCAGGGGGTGCACTGCCAATCTCAGAGCATGCGCATATACCCATGTGCACCCCCTACACCAGGGTGGGCAATTATTTTGGGCGGATGGCCGCTTAGTTTTGGCAAGCCATTAAGGGCCACATGACAGGCAGCCAGGGGCAGATAAATATTAATTTTCTAAATTTTTTAGGGGCCCCGTGGGCTGGATAGAATGGCCTGGTGAGCCGCACCCAGTCCATAGTCTGCATTTTGCCCACTCCTGCCCTGCATGTTGCCAGTGCAGGTAGAGGAGGGTCATCGCTGGGGCAGCATGGGGCAAGCAGCAGTGGGCAAGGAGATCCCTGCGTGGCTT